ATATATATGTGTGTGTGTGTGTGTAAATATATATAATATATATATTTAAATATTAACTTAGAAAAAATATTAAATTTTTATAATTATAATTTTCTATAATACAATAATTACAATAATTTTAAAAGCACATAACAAAATGACTAAAGCGTAAACGATAATTAAAATGGAAATGGAAAATATAAAAATTAAAGCTAAATTGTAATATCAAAATATTAATAAATACTATAATAGTATGTAAATAATACTCAAGATACTGTCTGTTAATAATAAGAATAAGAATATATATTTATTTATCATAATAAAACGTTTTAAAAGTCTTTGGTGCCAACATACATTTTTTTGATTTCATTAGTGCGTTTAATCAAATGTATCCAAACTCCACTGCTGTCCGTGAGCATCTTCTTCTCTTTATAGTGTTGTCACGTGATCAGTAATTAGCCGTTCTGATTGGTGGTGCCAAACTGTGCTGTGATTCACAGGTCAAGTGCCATTAATGTAGTGAAGATTCTCAGAGTGCTGAGGGTGTTGAGGCCCCTGAGAGCAATCAACAGAGCCAAGGGCCTCAAAGTGAGTCTCTCAAAAAAAATCACACACAAATCTGTTCAGATGACTCTGACCTACTCTTTCCATTCAGTGTACTGGATGCGCTGAGCATTTATTTTAATTGAGAGTTTTGTTTGCGTCCACAGCATGTGGTCCAGTGTGTGTTTGTAGCCATCCGTACCATCGGGAACATCGTTATCGTCACCACTTTGCTGCAGTTCATGTTTGCCTGTATTGGCGTTCAACTTTTCAAGGTAAGTTGTGCTGTCTCACAATGCATACTTAACAGAGCAAAACAGTGACAGGGTTATACATTGCTGCTAAAGTCCACCAATTCAGTGTTGTTATTGTTAAAAAATCAAAATAAAATAAAATAAAAAGTTATTTCAGTTTTATATATATATATATATATATATATATATATATATATATATATGTGTGTGTGTGTGTGTAAATATATATAATATATATATTTAAATATTAACTTAGAAAAAATATTAAATTTTTATAATTATAATTTTCTATAATACAATAATTACAATAATTTTAAAAGCACATAACAAAATGACTAAAGCGTAAACGATAATTAAAATGGAAATGGAAAATATAAAAATTAAAGCTAAATTGTAATATCAAAATATTAATAAATACTATAATAGTATGTAAATAATACTCAAGATACTGTCTGTTAATAATAAGAATAAGAATATATATTTATTTATCATAATAAAACGTTTTAAAAGTCTTTGGTGCCAACCTACATTTTTTTGATTTCATTAGTGCGTTTAATCAAATGTATCCAAACTCCACTGCTGTCCGTGAGCATCTTCTTCTCTTTATAGTGTTGTCACGTGATCAGTAATTAGCCGTTCTGATTGGTGGTGCCAAACTGTGCTGTGATTCACAGGTCAAGTGCCATTAATGTAGTGAAGATTCTCAGAGTGCTGAGGGTGTTGAGGCCCCTGAGAGCAATCAACAGAGCCAAGGGCCTCAAAGTGAGTCTCTCATTCACAAAAAAAATCACACACAAATCTGTTCAGATGACTCTGACCTACTCTTTCCATTCAGTGTACTGGATGCGCTGAGCATTTATTTTAATTGAGAGTTTTGTTTGCGTCCACAGCATGTGGTCCAGTGTGTGTTTGTAGCCATCCGTACCATCGGGAACATCGTTATCGTCACCACTTTGCTGCAGTTCATGTTTGCCTGTATTGGCGTTCAACTTTTCAAGGTAAGTTGTGCTGTCTCACAATGCATACTTAACAGAGCAAAACAGTGACAGGGTTATACATTGCTGCTAAAAATCTACTTCTCTAGAGAAAATTAATTGAATTTTTAGTCCCGTGGCATTGTATGTGCTGTTGTGAAATGTTCATGTGTGTAAACTGATGTTTGTTTTCAAGGGCAAATTCTCCTACTGCACAGACACCTCTAAACAGACACAGACCGAATGCCGGTAACGTCCCTTTGTCTTTGGGAAACAAAGTTTACAGTAACATTTACGGAAAAAAACAGCTTGTTCGTATGTATATGTGTGCACTCTGTGTGTGTATTACAGGGGGTTCTATATATTATACAAACACGGGAATGTTGGGAAGCCAGAGAAAGCACAGCGTTCATGGGAGAACAGTGACTTCAACTTTGATGATGTCCTGCAGGGCATGATGGCTCTGTTTGCCGTGTCCACTTTTGAGGGTTGGCCAGGGTGCGATACACAAACACACTCACACTTGCTCACACACATACTTCTTCTTACACATAAGTTTCATAGGTTTAAAGTTATGATTTTTTATTATTTTAAAAATAAGTCTCTAATGTGAAACATTATTACAATTTTAAAGAACTGTTTTATATTTTAAAATATATAAATTTTTTGGCAAATCAGATTTTTCAGCATCATTACTCCAGTCTTTAGTGTCTCATAATCCTTCAAAAATAGTTCTAATATGCTGATTTTGTGCTCATGAAACATTTCTTGTAAATATTTTTGTGGAAACAGTGATACATTTTTTTCCCAGAAATCTTTAAATACATATATTCATATATTAATGTCTGAAATGAAATATATTCATAAGTGTCTTTACTGTCACTTTTGATCAGTTTAATGCATCCCTGCTGAAACTTCTGAATGAATGAATAACAATTTCTAAAAGCTAATATCAAACAATCTCCTTAAATATTACTATAAATTAATGAATAATTTTAAAAGCAGTGTTTCAAAACACTGACAAGAAGCTCTTTGTTCTCCCACAGGCTCCTCTACAGAGCCATCGACTCCCATGCAGAAGATGTTGGCCCAATCTACAACTACCGTGTGATCATCTCTATATTCTTCATCATCTACATCATCATCATCGCCTTCTTCATGATGAACATATTCGTAGGTTTCGTCATTGTGACATTTCAGGAGCAGGGAGAGCAAGAGTACAAAAACTGTGAGCTGGACAAGAACCAGGTAGACTGATGACAATATCTCTACAGGAACACAGAGAGCGTTTAAAAGTCTAACTCTAATTCCACCTCCATATGTTTCTGTGTGTGTACAGCGCCAGTGTGTGGAATATGCCCTGAAGGCTCGTCCCCTGCGCAGGTACATCCCCAAGAACCCGTATCAGTACAAGGTGTGGTATGTGGTGAACTCCACCTACTTTGAGTACCTGATGTTCACCCTCATCCTTCTCAACACCATCTGCCTGGCCATGCAGGTCAGTATGCTCACTAGCTCAACTAATACACATACTCAAATACACAAATCTAATCTTTTTGATTAATTTATGCGTTTGCAGCATCATGGCCAATCTCAGTCCTTCAGCAAAGCCATGAATATCCTCAATATGTTGTTCACCGGCCTCTTCACTGTGGAAATGATCCTCAAACTCATCGCCTTCAAACCCAGGGTACGCCATGCTTGTTTATTATATGAGCAAAGCTGATTTTCATTCCAAATCATTCTATTATTAGACGTCTGTGTACAGGAACTTCTAAGTCTTTAAAATGAAATTGTATTTTATTATTATTAAAAAAAATATCAGATTTGAGATGATTAGACTATAAGCTATTCTTAAAATTGAAGTCCCACTTTACAGTACTTTATTATCAGTGCTTTGAATTGTTTTTTTTTGTTTTTTTTGCCGTGTGCTGTTTAACAAATAATTTTACAGTTGTCCTCCAGGCTAAATGTTTTCCATTTCGGTTTTTGTTTGTGTCATCAAATGCACAGTTTACAGCGGATAACACTCTGCTTATCTTTAGAAATGTCACGTCTCACTTACTTAACCTGTCTTTGACCTGAAATGTTTTACTACAGTCACTAGTTTTGCCCCAGATGAGGACTGAAATGAATGTAACGTAAAATGACAGTCTCTCTCTCGCTCTTCTTCAGAAATGAGTTTCATCGCCTGCCTTAAGACGTAATTCCATCAGTTAGTGTTTAAAGAGTTTTATTTCTCGCATAACTTGGCAGCCATTTCCAGTCCATTAAAGGTTTTCCTGCCCTATTAAGCACCAATCAGATATCGTAAAGATGGAGATGCTATCCGCTCACAGGATAAAGTGACTTCCTCTAGAGCCCAGAAAACCATATTTTCCTTGTAAACGAGAGCATCAACACAAATCAAAGTGCGTTTTCTTGTTGAAATGGACATATTTAATCCGTAATTTCCTGAAAGTCCATAGTTGTGCTGAATGGTGATTGGCTAACGAGATGCATTGTGGGTTGACTGTGCTCATGCATCATGGGTACGGCAGCACTAGTGATGGTCAATTCTGCCTCTCTAACTGCCCTCTCTCACCCCACAGCGTTCATGGGAGAACAGTGACTTCAACTTTGATGATGTCCTGCAGGGCATGATGGCTCTGTTTGCCGTGTCCACTTTTGAGGGTTGGCCAGGGTGCGATACACAAACACACTCACACTTGCTCACACACATACTTCTTCTTACACATAAGTTTCATAGGTTTAAAGTTATGATTTTTTATTATTTTAAAAATAAGTCTCTAATGTGAAACATTATTACAATTTTAAAGAACTGTTTTATATTTTAAAATATATAAATTTTTTGGCAAATCAGATTTTTCAGCATCATTACTCCAGTCTTTAGTGTCTCATAATCCTTCAAAAATAGTTCTAATATGCTGATTTTGTGCTCATGAAATATTTCTTGTAAATATTTTTGTGGAAACAGTGATACATTTTCTTGCGATTCTTTAAATACAAATGAACATATATTAGTTTCTGAAATGAAATATATTAATATATATTAATGCATCCCTGCTGAACAAAAATAAACTTTTGAATGGTGCACAATCACAAAACAACAATATCTGTAGTCGATGCCAATACATGTGAGATTTCATGTTACCAATTTCTAAAAGCTAATATTGAACCAACACCGTAAATACTCTATAAATATTACTATAAATTAATTAATCATTTTAAAAGCAGTGTTTCAAGAAGCTATCTGTTCTCCCACAGGCTCCTCTACAGAGCCATTGACTCCCATGCAGAGGATGTTGGTCCAGTCTACAACTACCGTGTGATCATCTCTATATTCTTCATCATCTACATCATCATCATCGCCTTCTTCATGATGAACATATTCGTAGGTTTCGTCATTGTGACATTTCAGGAGCAGGGAGAGCAAGAGTACAAAAACTGTGAGCTGGACAAGAACCAGGTAGACTGATGACAATATCTCTACAGGAACACAGAGAGCGTTTAAAAGTCTAACTCTAATTCCACCTCCATATGTTTCTGTGTGTGTACAGCGCCAGTGTGTGGAATATGCCCTGAAGGCTCGTCCCCTGCGCAGGTACATCCCCAAGAACCCGTATCAGTACAAGGTGTGGTATGTGGTGAACTCCACCTACTTTGAGTACCTGATGTTCACCCTCATCCTTCTCAACACCATCTGCCTGGCCATGCAGGTCAGTATGCTCACTAGCTCAACTAATACACATACTCAAATACACAAATCTAATCTTTTTTATTAATTTATGCGTTTGCAGCATCATGGCCAATCTCAGTCCTTCAGCAAAGCCATGAATATCCTCAATATGTTGTTCACCGGCCTCTTCACTGTGGAAATGATCCTCAAACTCATCGCCTTCAAACCCAGGGTACGCCATGCTTGTTTATTATATGAGCAAAGCTGATTTTCATTCCAAATCATTCTATTATTAGACGTCTGTGTACAGGAACTTCTAAGTCTTTAAAATGAAATTGTATTTTATTATTATTAAAAAATATATCAGATTTGAGATGATTAGACTATAAGCTACTCTTAAAATTGAAGTCCCACTTTACAGTACTTTATTATCAGTGCTTTGAATTGTTTTTTTTTGTTTTTTTTGCCGTGTGCTGTTTAACAAATAATTTTACAGTTGTCCTCCAGGCTAAATGTTTTCCATTTCGGTTTTTGTTTGTGTCATCAAATGCACAGTTTACAGCGGATAACACTCTGCTTATCTTTAGAAATGTCACGTCTCACTTACTTAACCTGTCTTTGACCTGAAATGTTTTACTACAGTCACTAGTTTTGCCCCAGATGAGGACTGAAATGAATGTAACGTAAAATGACTCTGACATTCTGTAAATGTCTCTCTCTCGCTCATCTTCAGAAATGAGTTTCATCGCCTGCCTTAAGACGTAATTCCATCAGTTAGTGTTTAAAGAGTTTTATTTCTCGCATAACTTGGCAGCCATTTCCAGTCCATTAAAGGTTTTCCTGCCCTATTAAGCACCAATCAGATATCGTAAAGATGGAGATGCTATCCGCTCACAGGATAAAGTGACTTCCTCTAGAGCCCAGAAAACCATATTTTCCTTGTAAACGAGAGCATCAACACAAATCAAAGTGCGTTTTCTTGTTGAAATGGACATATTTAATCCGTAATTTCCTGAAAGTCCATAGTTGTGCTGAATGGTGATTGGCTAACGAGATGCATTGTGGGTTGACTGTGCTCATGCATCATGGGTACGGCAGCACTAGTGATGGTCAATTCTGCCTCTCTAACTGCCCTCTCTCACCCCCACCTTCCCCTCGTCCTGTGTAGGGTTACTTTAGTGACCCCTGGAATGTTTTTGACTTCCTCATCGTAATTGGCAGCATTATAGACGTCATTCTGAGTGAGATCAACGTAAGTACATCGCCACCTCTCTCTCTCTCTTTTCCCAACTCCCTTTCTCTCTTTTGCTCTCCTGTCCATCTCTGCTGTCTTTCATTTCCCCCTGTGCTTCCTGCCATTCTCTGCTCCTGCTGTCTCCTCCAACTCTTCATTTCCTGTTCCGACGGCAAGATGGCTGCTGTGGCAGGTCGCCCTCTGGCAGTGAGAGGGTTATTTAGGGCAGGAGAAAAATTGTTCGTTCAGGAGAGTTTTTCGGTAGGCCCCGTGAAAGAGAGAGACCGACCGCTTCTTTTCATCCTCCAGGCTGCGATGTATGTTGTTTTGCTGTAACTAACAGTCACACCTGAACTAACCAAGGACCCCTGGCCGTTCTTTTCAGGGTGGTTTTGATGGATGTTTGACTGCTGCTGTGGAGCATGACAGGTCCCGGGTCTTCATGGGATTTTCTGATTTCGTTTTGATTTCCTCACACCCGTCATTTGATTTTATGATTTATCCTTGTCTTCTGTGAGTTAATTGTTCATGTGTAACTGTTTTCTTCCTTATTTTCTCCTCTCTCCTTTTCTTTTTCATTTCTTTTGTTTTTTTTATTTGTTGTTTTCCGTCCAGCATTATTTTGTTGATGCATGGAACACATTTGATGCCCTTATTGTAGTGGGTAGTGTTGTTGATATAGCCATCACAGAGGTTAACGTAAGTAATCTCTCTCTCTCAATCTGCCTGCCTGCACCCCCCTAACCCTCCCACACTAACAAAGATGAGTTGCTTTAACCCTCCACCCGCACACATAGGCATGAATGACCTTGTATAGCGCTCAGGGTGATATATTCCGGCTTCACAATCAATATAGACTGATGAATTGTTTTGGAAATCATTACATTAAGATGGATGGTCAATCTTATCAGTGTTGCCTGTAACTCATTAAAATCTGCTATAATGTTTCTTTATTCATAAAAGAAGGTTCATAAACCTTCAAACTGATTTTGAAAGAAGAGCCCAGATTCTCTTTAGAAGAAACTTGTATATCATATTGCTGCTAATTTCAAAGTTTTGTATCCAATTATATAGTTTATTATTCAGTTTTCATTTAGATTGGCAACCAATTTGATCTGGTAGAGTCTTGTTGTATGTGTGCAAACAGCAATAGCGCATGTAAGGTCAAAATATTTCTTCAACTTGTTATATATCAGCTAGATTGGCTGGGTTTAACCAGAACTCGTCACTTGTAAAATGTAGATGTAAAGATTTGGATGTCAAAATATTGCATCCGTGTGTTATGCATGCTGTGAAAATGCATCTTTAGATTCATTTTTAGATCTTTAGTTAATATGTGGCAGACTTGACTTTGCCACTTTGTCAATATGTTTTGATGGAAAGGTACTATTAAAAATGACTATTTCAAAGTTTAGGGTCAATAAAATTTGTAATGTTTTTGAAAGAAGTCTCTTATGCACAACAAGGCTATTTAAAATATACAGTAAAAACTGTAATATTGTGAAATATTATTACACTTACAAATAACTGTTTTGTTACAATGTATAATAACCGATTTCTATTTTAATATATTTTCAAATTTAATTTTATTCCTGTGATGGCAAAACTGAATTTTCAGCAGTCATGATCCTTTAGAAATCATTATAATATGCTGATTGGCTGGTGAAGTAACATTTTTTTAATCAAAGCTAGAAACAGCTGTGCTGCTTAATATTTTTGTGGAAACCAAGATGCATTACAATCAATCAATATGATAATTTTGAATGGTGTATTTCAGATACAAAACTACAGCTCCGTGTAAGTGTTCGTTCATGATTTGGGCTCTCTGATCAAAATGTGTTAATGAAGGTTATTTATGATTGACAGCCGTTATGCTGGAGATATACCCCTTGTTTTGCTATACACATCCATTTCAGCACTGACTGGGTTTGATTTGGTTGGAGTTTTCTCTTCATCCAGCATCTGATTTGATCTGAAGGCATGACCTTTGACCCAGCATTGTGTTTGGATTGATTTGTTTTAGTTTCCCCCTTTTCTTTCCTTTGAGAAAACTCTGAGCACTTTTTTCTCATGCTTCATTAACCTGTTAATTGATCTGATTAGTGATCTGAAATGAAACTGATGAATCCGTGCTGATAGCCAGTCCCTCCTTTCAGTGCTACAAGGAGATTAGAGTGGAACCGGATGACTCTGTTCTCCCTTAGAAAAGCGTTAATGTCACCCCTCCTCCCCCTGAGGCCGCTCTGCTCCTCTCAGTGCTTTGTCCTCCCTGCCTGTTGGAGGCGCTCTCTGATTCGCGGTGTCTGATTGGACAGAAGCGGGGGGTGGAGAGATGGGAGTGTTTGCCAGCTCTGTCTTGCTGACGATGCCACATTGCATCCTTCTCTATGAATGCCTCTTCTTTTCTGTCTTTCTGTTCTGCATTTTCCTCCCTTTTTTCAGTGTTTTTCCTCTGTCTCTTCTCTCTTTCTTTCTTACACCCGCACAGCATTCTTGGTAGGCCTGCTCCCTGTGTCATTAGCTGTTGACTGGCTGATAGGACCACAATCACTGAACTTAATTGGCTAAGCCATTTATGATGTATTCAAGTAACTTCTATTGACTAACAGGGTGATCTCATGAAATTGTTTTGTATGAAAAAATTAAGCATATTTGCATATCAATTTTCATCAGAAAATCCGCACACATAGTACTAATGAAAATCATTTTGGCAAAACACAGTGGTTTACATGAAATACAGCGCAAATTATTCATACTTCTACATTAAATCTTACATTATTTAGAATACATAAAAAACAATATTTATGTATTTATTTTTTTCTCATGGGGGGGAAGTGAGTGCTTAATTGTCATAAAATAAAAATATAATCTAAAAAAATAATCTAAAAATATATTCTTTTCATGACAATTAAGCACATTTAAAGCCTCCAACTGAAGACATCTTGATAGTTCTAAAATAAGCTCTCATTTAAATAATATAATAGAATGTTGTTGTTGTTAATAATAATAGTTAATTATTTATAATTATTTTTTTTGTAGGAGGTTTTTTCATTGCAGTAGGCTACTCCTAATTTGAGGAGGTAGGCTTACGTGTGATTAATTGTCATAAAAATATATACATTTTATGACAGTTAAACACATTTAAACCCAACAGTGCAAGAAATTGTACTGGTCCTTATTTCTTATTTTTAAGTTTGAGTTTAGGGTGAAATATGGCCAAGAGCTTTATTTTCATGACTCACCTAACAACTGAAGTTCTCGCTGATGGGCATGATTGTAACCTCCAGGGGGCAGTGTTTACCAGTTTGTGCCAAATCTGTATATTTGTGCAATGTGAGATAATATCTGTGATATGGAGCGGCCCTTTCAAAGTGGCTCTGTGTGGAGATTTTATCATGGTAGCTGTCTCACAGATGCACATTTGGAACGAGTTATACTGTTGACCCAGTTCTGTAATGTGTGTGCTACATGCATGGTTGGGGTTGCCAAATCCTCTGCAGTTTTACCGCAAAGACATAATTGAATCAATCGAGTTGTCATCGCCACTAAAAGCATGAAACAAAGTCAGACATTTTAGTCTATCGTGGCACTGCAGAGGATTTAGAAATCAGTCTCTCTGCATGTAGAAATTAAACACACACCTACATGCAGTCACTCACTGCAGCACACACACCGTGATAGACCTACTGAGAAATTCTCGACTCGGCTCGTGAGAGATGTCGAATCTGTGCATGTGTCTGCGTGTGTCACCAACCCATCCTCCAGTCTGCGGCTGCAGAACAGCGTATGGCTCCTCCTCAAACGGACCATGTGCTGTAGCACCCTCAGCTGGCAGAAAGACAGACGTGCTATGAGGCGTCTCCCCTGCAAAAGACCCAACAGATGTACCTCAAAACACACTGATGGACACTTTTCCACACAAATTCCCACACGAACACACACAGGTGTACAGTGGGTGGTTGGCGCTGCTATAGCTTTCATCTGTCTGCCTTTCTTTAAAGCCAGCTGACCCCTCCTCCTCTCCCCCCTCCTCTGTGGTAAGACCAACATTTATGATGTATTCAAGTAACTTCTATTGACTAACAGGGTGATCTCATGAAATTGTTTTGTATGAAAAAATTAAGCATATTTGCATATCAATTTTCATCAGAAAATCCGCACACATAGTACTAATGAAAATCATTTTGGCAAAACACAGTGGTTTACATGAAATACAGCGCAAATTATTCATACTTCTACATTAAATCTTACATTATTTAGAATACATAAAAAACAATATTTATGTATTTATTTTTTTCTCATGGGGGGGAAGTGAGTGCTTAATTGTCATAAAATAAAAATATAATCTAAAAAAATAATCTAAAAATATATTCTTTTCATGACAATTAAGCACATTTAAAGCCTCCAACTGAAGACATCTTGATAGTTCTAAAATAAGCTCTCATTTAAATAATATAATAGAATGTTGTTGTTGTTAATAATAATAGTTAATTATTTATAATTATTTTTTTTGTAGGAGGTTTTTTCATTGCAGTAGGCTACTCCTAATTTGAGGAGGTAGGCTTACGTGTGATTAATTGTCATAAAAATATATACATTTTATGACAGTTAAACACATTTAAACCCAACAGTGCAAGAAATTGTACTGGTCCTTATTTCTTATTTTTAAGTTTGAGTTTAGGGTGAAATATGGCCAAGAGCTTTATTTTCATGACTCACCTAACAACTGAAGTTCTCGCTGATGGGCATGATTGTAACCTCCAGGGGGCAGTGTTTACCAGTTTGTGCCAAATCTGTATATTTGTGCAATGTGAGATAATATCTGTGATATGGAGCGGCCCTTTCAAAGTGGCTCTGTGTGGAGATTTTATCATGGTAGCTGTCTCACAGATGCACATTTGGAACGAGTTATACTGTTGACCCAGTTCTGTAATGTGTGTGCTACATGCATGGTTGGGGTTGCCAGATCCTCTTCAGTTCTACTGCAAAGACATAATTTAATCAATCTAGTTGTCATCGCCACTAAAAGCATGAAACAAAGTCAGACATTTTAGTCTATCGTGGCACTGCAGAGGATTTAGAAATCAGTCTCTCTGCATGTAGAAATTAAACACACACCTACATGCAGTCACTCACTGCAGCACACACACCGTGATAGACCTACTGAGAAATTCTCGACTCGGCTCGTGAGAGATGTCGAATCTGTGCATGTGTCTGCGTGTGTCACCAACCCATCCTCCAGTCTGCGGCTGCAGAACAGCGTATGGCTCCTCCTCAAACGGACCATGTGCTGTAGCACCCTCAGCTGGCAGAAAGACAGACGTGCTATGAGGCGTCTCCCCTGCAAAAGACCCAACAGATGTATCTCAAAACACACTGATGGACACTTTTCCACACAAATTCCCACACGAACACACACAGGTGTACAGTGGGTGGTTGGCGCTGCTATAGCTTTCATCTGTCTGCCTTTCTTTAAAGCCAGCTGACCCCTCCTCCTCTCCCCCCTCCTCTGTGGTAAGACCAATGGTACGGACCAACGGTAACCAAAACCCCACCTCTCATTCCACCCCGTCACCTTGTCGACCTGTCCATCTACACCTGTCATTCACCATGTGACTTCGGCATGAACGCACGTGTTCTCTCTCATCACTGTGGCATTGGGCAGGCACGTGTATATGCTGGTAGTGTGTCCATCGCCTCGACCTCTCCCCTCCCCTAGGCTGCGATGCCTGTCATTGGTGCGCTGTAGTCACATGGTCATCGCTCTCTCTGTGTCTAGTCCAGTGTCGGCCTCTACTGGTCAGCTCTGGTGTGACAGTTCACCACCGACGTGGCAGAGCTCTGAAATCAGCTGGGGCTTGTGAAAAGACGATTTCCTGTGCGATGTCCACATGCATGAAGCTTATTCTCAGTTTTGCTTGGTTTGTGTGATGAGTTTTTGTAGGGCATGTGTGTGCAGATGTAGGTGTTGGAGATTTAAAGGTGCACTGAGTCTTTTTTCATGTTGTGCTTATACTGACACCTAGTGGTGTGGATGCAGTGCCATACCAAGTAAACAAAAAATTACCGATGCCATTATAAAAATGCTCAATTCAAAGTCAGGCATATCAGGAATTTTCTCAGAAAGCAGGGGTCTTGCCAAAATCAAACCGAGGTCATGTGACCCCAAAATGGTGGATCTCATGAGGTGACCCTCTCCATGTACAGTGGGTAAAATAAGTATTGAACACATCACCATTTTTCTCAGTAAATATATTTCTAAAGGTGCTGTTGACATTTTTCAACCAGATGTCGGTAACAACCCAAGTAATCCATACATACAAAGAAAGCAATACAAATAAGTTCAGAAATTAAGTTCTGTGTAATAAAGTAGAATGACACGGTGAAAAAGTATTTGAACACATGAAGAAAGGGAGGTGCAAAAAGCCATGGAAAGCCAAGACACCAGCTGAAATCTATCAGTAATTAGAAAGCAATCCTGCCCCTTGTCAGTGGAAATTAATATTAGCTGGTTCAGTACCAACTGATGGCCTATAAAAAGGTGTCTCATCTCAAAGGTGTCTCAACATTTCATGATGGGTAAAAGCAAAGAGCTTTCTCAAGACCTTCGCAACCTTATTGTTGCAAAATATACTGATGGCATTTGTTACAGAAGCGTTTCTATACTTCTGAATGTTCCAGTGAGCACTGTAGGGGCCATAATCCGGAAGTAAAGAACATCATTTTACCATAAACCAGCCATGATCAGGTGCTCCTCACAAGATTTCTGACAGAGGAGTGAAAATAATTATCA